GTTTTACCAACACTATAGACTATGACTAAGTATAATCGTAATCTAGGTATGCAGTATAGTGGTCCAGGTTCTAAATGTCAACCCAGGTTCTAGGTGTACTAGTTATTCCGTGCAATTCTATTATCTAAAGGTTGACATGAAATGAATTTGATTGCAAACAGAATTAAACAGAAATCAAGTAAACGATAGTTCTCAGATTAAGAAGGCTCACTCAGGTAAGAATCACCCTAGATTGTAGCCAGGCCAAGTGTTGTAATTCCCCTAAGTCTACTCCTCTACAGAGTAGTGAACTGCTTCTCGACTAAATCAGTCGATTCACTACTTCCAAACACAGTTTTCTCTCTTAACCTATATAGAAACTATCATTCTAGGTCAAAGCAGGAATCACAACAATTTGATCAGGACTCAATCAATTCTTTATCAATGCCTCAATTGGATAAAAGATTATCAATCGTTCATGACAAAGGGTTCATACAACTCTTCCTAGCATACAAATCTAGGGTTCTTATATACCCAAGTGAAGTAGGGGATTAATCCATAAAGATAGAGTGGAAAGCAATGCTGGATGTTGAGATCATCCTATAGATGGAAGAAATCTGCTCCAAGTTGTCAATTGTCACTCCTCGAGGCTTGAATCGAGCTCCAATGGTGGGAAGACTTGATCTAGGGTACTCAAGGTTCACTCTTTATCACTTTCTCTCTCTAAAACTATGTTTTCAGCTCCAAAATATAATATCTCCTCCAAAAAATTTGTTCCACTTGTATCAGCCCGAGTTGGCCATCACTGATCAAGGAATTGGATGCATGACATGGGATTGCCAAAATGTGGTGTTTCCACTTAAAATTCAGAGAGGGTTCCACTGGCCGCTGCTTTGGATCCCCGATCGAGGAATTGAGGCGCTTCAATCACGGGGTCTCCTAATCGTATTCCTTGGTCACTGGTGTTGATCCCTGGTCGGGGATTTGATGGCAAACCCGGGGATATCCATCCTCCGTCTCCACTAACTCGTCCACTCTCCATTTTGGCCCGACACTCGCTTTCAAGCCTTCATTTCAGATCCAGGTCTTGAAATATGACGTAAAAGCACAAACTAGCATTAAATCTACTTAAAGAACGAGTATTGACCCTCAAACAGTCTAAGAATAGTGGGAAAACATGTGCAAATATCAAGTTATCAGATCCCCCCACACTTAAATGTTTGCTTGTCCCAAAAAAAAAAAACCGGACTCAAACCAATGCAACTCTCAAGACCTTCATAGCAATATGCAATCGAGATTTTTGATAGAGGACTTCCTAGGTCATTTAACAGATTACGAGGTCAAGATCTCTCTCAACGCGAGCTCTAGTCTTGAGCCAAGATCTTGCCAAGTAGTGGACCTAGGACAGATAATTCATGGATGAGTGACTCTCATAACTTACAAGCATGGACTCTTTGCATCAGGTGCTCTTTTCCCTTCATTTTATTTTTTGAAACCCTTTTTCCTTACTCTATTGTTTCCTTTTCCTTTGCCATTCATTTTTTTTTAGCAGGGTTCCAACCTGCAGTTTTCAAGGTCGACCCTTACTAATTGAGCAAGAGCTTTTGTATCTCTGTCAATAGGCAAAGAACACGGGCGTGGGGGGAAAGGAAACACAATCGTATTTCTCAACCCCCCTGTGACCGTGCTTTTTATGTCGAACGCAAGCTGGAAGAACAGGGAAGACCCGGTGGGACAGGGGAGTAACATGGTCGTGTTTCTCCCTGCCCGCCACCGTGTTTTTTCTGCCGAACTTGCTCAGCAACATTTCAAAACTGCAACTTCAAACAACCAGACACCGTCTGTGAGACAATCAGTGGACAACCGTGTTTTGCTCCAAACTCGCCAAATGATCTCCAAACAACCCAAAACTCACGTCTAAGCCTTCTTCCAGCTACGAGGACCTGAAATGTAACAAAAGAGCACAACCCAGGGTAAAATAGGCCAAGGAACCACAAATCCGAGTCAAAACGGTTAAGAAACAAGGGTGCAAACATGTGCAAATACGAAGTTATCAGGCAAGTCATGGACCGTACGATATGGGAGATTGGTTGAATCTTTGATAAGGAGGATAGCTCCCTTGTTGAAGTCCTAATTAATAGCTTTGGTTTATATAGTTGACATCAGCATGTCCTTTCCTTCTAATCTATAGCAGTCGAAACCTTCATGGCCTTCTTACCTACATGGTTCACAAACAAAGAAGGGTGCCACTGGTCCATTCTTTAAATCCATGGAAGTTCTCTTGAGTTATTGTGTTAGCTCCTTTATGTGTGAACAAAGGGTGGCGACTTCATCCTCCCTTCCTTGGATAGCTTTCAATGGTTTGATCATTGATGGACGCTTAGACGAGTTCTTTGACTTCTTTTCTAGTGTGGCGAAATGTTTTTGGCATTGAACTCCCGTCATTGTTGGAAATTCTCCATCGGGTGACTAGTATACCATCATCGTTGTTTCTTGAGCTAGACCTTTGGTGAAGTACTTTGCAATCTGCTCTGGTATGAATCCATGATGGGGTCATTCCAATCATAACTACTTACACCATACCATTTATGACTCACAAGAAACAAGAGAGGAATTTAGGGGGATTCATTCAAGTAACAAGCAAGGAAAAGTAAAGCATGAAGAGTAAAGTTATTTAGGGGTTTTCGATTTGTAGATGCATACAAATAAAGATGCGTTATTGTATAAAAAGTAAATTTCCAATATAATCATGCATTGTAAAACTCATTCTCAGCATGCATTGATGACTCATTTATAGCATCACTCTATCCATGAATGTGCATGGCTCTTGCGATAGAGATTTAACTAGCTAATGTGTCCTTTCGTTTCATGCCATTACCTAAATAATGAAGAACAAGGAAGTTAGGATGAGACATGATTAAGTGTGGGCCTCTTGGCCATAATCGATAGTCTATAGCATAGACTATCTAGTAATCAAGCATTGACACTACTCGAGGTATAAGTGGTTGATCTTTGCCTCTATACTGGTGTAGAATCAATGGGATACCACTAGAATGGAATTTCTTAATAACCTAAATGATATTAAGCACAATACATATAGTATCACACTGCAGAATCATAAGCATCGATGATAAATATCATTAAACAAGATCAGTATCAAAGCCATACATATAGGCACCAAAACATAAAGTATCCATGCATACATATAGGGCATCAAAAATATCACAAGCATGACACGAAATCATAGCATCAATACGTACAACGATAAACGAGTTCACATCCTCATAGAGAAATTTTGAACTAGCAAATGATAAGAGAAGGAGGGTACCACCATCATTGATGAAAACTTCTGTTACGTGCCCTTTTCGGAGAATAGAATTTAGGGTGAAAGATCGGGATACGAAGAATAAGAATGGAGGAAAGATTGATAGAATGGTAGAAGAGAAGTGTTCTCTTTAATGGCGAGAACGGAACCCCTAAGCTTTTTTGAGGAAAGCCAACCTCCCAAATTAACACGTAGGTGTGTAAAACCCTTTTCTGATTATACTTGATTGATTCCCTTTTACTCTCTACATCTCCTTCTTTAAATAGAGAACATAAAACTAATAACCCTATAACCTAGCAAACTAAACGTAAAACACCTAAAACCATTATCACTAAAATAAACTCTCTTAATTCTAGCTAACAACTAACTCACTAATTATCCCACTACTCACGTCATAATCCCTCCCCTAACAACCCATAATTAAATAGTTATTTTTATTAAATAAATGCACATGAGATTCCATCCCCATTGAAAAGATTCTTGACCACAAGAATCAGCCATGAACTTCGGACACCTTCTTCAACCTGGATCTCCAGAAAGCATGAGCCACCATAGTTGAGACAATAAGCTTTCATTGCCAAATTTTGCTGCTGGCAACGAAGGATCCTTTCCTCCCAATAGTAATAATGGTGGGGCTTTTAAGTTTAACTTATTGTGACGACCCCACAGAGAAACCACCAAGGGAACTTGAATTGATGTGGCATTTTCTTGACCTTGATAATCATCAAGCTTCCCAATAGCATTCCCTCCATCTGCCTCTTTGATTTTTTTGTCAATGAGCTCGCCAGCCGCGCTTTTGCTACGACCTTCATGGTCTTGGGGTAGCTCCTCGTGGCCTCCTTGAGATTGAGAACGAACTACAGTTGAATGAACATTGCAAATTGGCAGTTGAAATCTTATCCTCGGAAGCTGCCACTTGACAAAGTTCTTTCACGCTTGTTGTAGTTTCATCGATCTCCAAATGGCCTTTATCTTCCTCTTGTCGTCGTGCGAATTCATGGAGATTAGTTTTCCCAAATGGGAGAATAGAAGCACTTGCAGAGACTTCATGAGCGCCAACTGCCAAATCAAAAGATGGAGATTGGTTTTCTTCATCGACAAACTTGAGCTCACAGGTGGCTGCTTGCCCTTATACAAGCTTATTCTCCATTGATGAGGGCCGCAAAATTCTTTCTCATCTCCTCCCTCAACGCGATCTCTTGTTTGAACCTCATTGTGGAAATAGCTTCAAGGGACTCCATGGTGACAGGATCGAACGGCTCTGATACCAAATGTTACGTGCCCTTTTTGGAGAATAGAATTTAGTGTGAAAGATCGGGATATGAAGAATAAGAATGGAGGAAAGATAGATAGATTGGTAGAAGAGAATTGTTCCCCTTAATGGCGAGAACGGAACCCCTAAACTTTTTTGTGGAAAGCCAACCTCCCAAATTAACACGTAGGTGTGTAAAACCCTTTTCTTGATTATCCTCCGTTCCCCTCATCTATCCATCTACTACTTTAAATAGAGAATGAAACTCTAATAATCCTACAACTAATGAACTTAATGGGTAAACACATGTCTTTAAGCTAAAACCCCTTGGTTCTAGGTAACCACTAACCCACTAATCACCCCAACTAACTCACGTCTAACAATTCATAATATTTAATCCTAATTCTAATTAACAATTGATAAAACCAATTAAATAAAAACTAATTAAAGCACATGACATTCCATCCCCCTTAGAAAGGATTCTTGACCACAAGAATCAGCCATGTTTTGCACGTCTTCTTCAACCTGGGTCTCCATAGAGAATGAGCCACCACCATAGGGACCTTCTACCAAACTTTTCTTCTTGCAACCAAGGACCTCTTTCTTCCAATAATGAAAATGTTTGGCCTCTGAACACATGGTGACGGCCCCAAAGAGAAACCTCCAGGTGAACATGATTGGTTGTGGTGTTTCCTCGCCCTGGATAATCATCAAACTTCTCAGTAGCCTTTTGTTCATTTGCCATTTTTATTTTTGGGACAATGATCAACTCGCAAGCAGCGCCTTTGCTACTTGTTTCGTGCTCTAGGTGTAGCTTCTCTTGGTTTTCTTGAGATTGAGAACGAACCAGAGTTGAATGACCATTGCCATTTGCCATTGAAATCTTATCCTCGGAGTCGGAGGCTGCCACTTCATGAAGCTTTTCACGTCACGTAGAGAAGCAATAAGGAGTGTCTTCATTCTTTCTTCAAACCTGAGGAGATCATCCTTTAACCTTAGCAACCCCTCCTTGAAACTATCTTGTTGCGCAGCTTTGGAAGACATGGCTCTGATACCAAATGTTATGTTCCTTTTTCGGAGAATAGAATTTAGGGTGAAAGATCGGGATATGAAGAATAAGAATGGAGGAAAGATAGATAGAATGGTAGAAGAGAATTGTTCCCCCTTAATGGCGAGAACGGAACCCCTAAGCTTTTTCGAGGAAAGCCAACCTCCCAAATTAACATGTAGGTGTGTAAAACCCTTTTCTTGATAATACTTGATTGATTCCCTTTTACTCTCTACATCTCCTTCTTTAAATCGAGAACATAAAACTAATAACCCTATAACCTAGCAAACTAAACATAAAACACCTAAAACTATTATCACTAAAATAAACTCTCTTAATTCTAGCTAACCACTAACTCACTAATTATCCCACTACTCACATCATAATCCCTCCCCTAACAACCCATAATTAAATAGTTACTTTTATTAAATAAATGCACATGACAACTTCTCCCTAGTTGCACCCTCTTGTACGAAACTTAAGTTCTTATTCTAGCACAATATACATAAGTTGAATGTAGTTGTGCAGCCTACAAAACTAATGAGTCTAGCATTCTATTTATAAGGATGAAAATTGGCCAAAATCCTCCTAAACCAAGTAGGAAAAGGTTTCTTTGATGTAGGCCCAAAGTCATGGACTAAAGATCCTCTTTTGGGCTTCGGCCTCTTAGAGGCATATGTGGCGGTTGGGAACGCAACCTTTTCCTTCTTGGGATGGCCTTCTTGACCCATAGACAACCTCTTCTGAAGATTTGGACGCGTTTTGATCAAGTTTCTATGAGTGATAGTTGGACCAGTTTTTGGGCCGCTGCTGATTTCTCCTTCTGGTTGGGCGGAGTCTTCCTGCATTGGGCTTCTTCTGGGCTCAAATCGTGGTTACTAGAAGGCTTCTCTATCAATGGACGTTGTCTTTATCATTAAAACTCGATATTCTTCTATTTATAGATCTTTTGGTCCTCTAGACTTATCCAATGTTAGATCCTAGTTTACTTAGGCAGCTTTGTACCTCGAAAATCATTAAAAACATATCCTAGGTCTATTAAAGGCTCATTGATCAAATAGTAATGATTTAGATATGAAATACAAAGAATGACTAAAGATGCATTGATAGAAGGAGAAAATGTATCAAGAATGGAAGTGAGAAACACAATAATTAAAGTGTTATCACACCGTAGATATGATCAAAAGCATAAGTCTATCAAATTGCACTATACAAACATATATAATTTCAGTTCCATCTGAAGTTGTGAGAACAAATTATGCTAAGTCTTTCCAGCAGCTTCAAACACTCGATTGCATCTCTCTTTCTACAATGGAGCCACCATCCAACCCCACACTACACTTCCTATGCTTCCTAGTACATCACCAAAGTTAGCCAAATGACACATTTGTGAAAGAGCATCCTCCCAATTATCTGTCCAATTGTTGTAAAACTTCTCATACATTGATGTCACAAGTGTAGTATTGTTTAGACAGTTTCAAAACAAGTGATATCTTTTCTCATTTGCTAAATTATAGAGAACACAAGTATGCCCAATAACATTCCCTCATTCACAACTCTTTATAACTGCAAGTCAAACCAATTAACTAAGTTAGAAAATTATTTTTGGGTATATGAAACTTACCCCAAACTAATTTCCATATATGAACATGAACATACTTAGGATGAATAGATATCCATATTAGCTTGACTGAAAATTTAGTCATTGGCTTACCTTCCCAGGTAATTATTCCATTATCCACAAATATTCGACATAAAAACCATGTTCTCAGTTTCAATAACCTTCTCCAAGGCCAGTGATCACCCTCAAGTGGTCAAAGTGGCTATAGTCCCCAAGCAATTATGGCCTCACTAGAGCCATCCCCAAACCAAAGAGAGCCAGATTACACTTTCTCAATTTTAGGAATTACTCCCTTTGGTAACACAAAAATAGACATCCATTATTGTACCACTAAAAGTAATACTCATGCGACAAGTTTTAATTTTCCAACATAGGTCAATTTACTATCTCAACATGACCTAATTTTTCTAGTTAATTTGTCCACAAGAACATCACACCCCTACTTGACAATCTCCCTGAGATTAAAGGTAGACATAAGTATCGTACATGGAGCTTTCCTTCCCTAAACCAGTAACTCTGAGAGCATTGTCCTTCAAGTCGATTGAAGATTTCCCAAAAAAACACGTCACATTTGTTCTGGTTACAGTGTAACCCAAATAATATAGAGAACTAATGAAGTATTTACTTCACATAACTCAAAGCATATGCCGGCCCCTTAGTATATATCATCAAATCATTTGCAAAATAAAAGTGTGCTAACTATGCCTTCTTATATTGGGGATGGTAAGGCGAGAGAGATTTCTAAGCATCTTTATCAATCATAGTTGTTAAGAGTTCCATCACTATTATAACTAGATAGAGGAACAGTTGATCCCCCTATTTAACGCTTTTCTTTAGCTTGGAAGAATCAGAATAAACTACCATGAATATATATGCTAAAACAAGTAGAGTTGAGGCAAGTTTGGATCCAACTGATGAAAGTGTTAGGAAAATTCATTATTCTCATTATCACAAATAGAGATTTCCAATCAATTAACTCGAATTCCTTCATTAGGTAAATTTTCATGTCACTTTCTATATGAGATTCTCTTCCTATTATAATTTTGAACAATCTCTTGGGCCATTAGTACATTCTCAAGAATACTTCCATCATTCACAAACGCAGATTCATTCCTACTAATTAAAGAAGGCAAAACATATTGCAATATGTTGTCCATGACCTTTTAAATGATCATGCACATAAAATTTATGCATGCTATTAGCCAAAAGTTTGTTAATGCCTCAAGACTGGCCATTTAAGGATAAAGAGTCAAAGAAACAACATACATACCTCTCGGAAGTTACCTTATTGTGAAAAAGGATTGAATGCCATCATTAATCTCTTCACCAATGACCTCTCCACTCTTCTGAAAGAATTGTGTTTTCCAATCGTGTGGGCCCAGTACCTTATCAGGATTGATAGAGAAGAGAGCATATCTTATTTCACAAGTTATTATAGTTTCACAAAGTTTACTTCCTGATGTTGGAATAAGCGTCATATTCAAAAATTTATATAAGAACTGAACATCAAGGCACACATTCTCATTCCCTGTATCAAAAAGGTTCGAATAGAATTTGATAGCTTCTTTTGCAAAAACATTCTCTTTACTGACTTATGGAAGAACTTATATTTGTAAAAACATTCCCCGCCCTTTTTAGTAGCTACTCTTTCTTCTTCATAGTTTTTAGGAGAAGGATAAGATAAACTTTCCGTTTGCGTTTGCTTCATTAAATCATATACTTCTCTAGATCTTGTTGTTATGTCTGAAAATTGCTCTCTATTCAGCTTCTTGATTTCAATCTTTAAGGCATTCCATTAACTTCGAATCTATAACATAAGGCCTCCATATACTTGCCGCTATCAACCTTTATTGAGATAGGAAAGTACTCAAGGTGGGAAAGACACATACCAAAGAACTTGAACGGTATTGGATATGATTTTATTGGTACATCAGGGATAATATAAGCATGAGAGTGGTCTGAAAAATTTGGAAGTAAGAAATCCACTACAATTTCAGGAAGCCTAGTCAACCAATCCTAATTCACCATCATCCGATCCAACTTGTTGATATAGGATTTCCTTTTTTTTTATCAGCTCATGTAGAAAGTGGCCAAGTAACTATTTGGCCAGTCAAATCCATTTCTTCCACCCACTATCTGAAAGCTCTCGTGCTAGTAGTTACTGATACTGCATTGGAGGCTTTCAATTGAGGTAGTATTGCATTAAAATCTCTGCATACCATCTAGTGGAAACCCTGAACTTTCCATCCACACAAATACTTATTATGTCTCCACTCTTCTTTCTTTAGGATTCAACCCATTGACAATAGTAAAAAGGAACTACACAAAGCTACGGACTGATGATACAGTGTGGCTCAAATTTTTTCTCCCCGTTATTAGGATACTAACTTTTATCTCCTCCTTATAAGAAAGCCACATTCTATCCAACTTGATAGTATATAGTTATTTTTAAACAAAATCAAATTTGTCTTTTATTCCCTTAAGATTTTACTTTTCGCACTCCAGTTTCAAGTATTGCAAAAATAAGTTATACACTTACTCATATACTGCATCACCAAGTTGTGCTTCAAGGGGCTGGTGATTCCCCTTGCATGTCATACTACGTTACTGATAACACCTGAATTATACATATATTCACCTACACTTATTCATTCTAAAATGACCCCATTGTACTAAGTTCATTCGATTTCCCCGATTTTACACTTGGTTTTGTGGTTAAGTGATGTTTCAAGTTATTCCATTCAATAAGAAGAAAGAATGAACTAATTTGGTGCTCAGATAATAAAAAGATGGTTAGGGTTCAAAATCTTATGTCGGTGGAACGCGAGCCCACGACGTAGGGCAAAGAGTCGTACGACTCCGGGTGCGTCCCCTTTTGGTTTCAACATACGAAACTCACCGCGTATTACACTGACGAATTACAAATAGAGATTATTGAAAAAGTATAGTCAAACCGCAAATTGTAGATTCAAACTGCCCCCTGCTAAGCATAAGGAAAAGCTGTCAAAACGACCAATGTGGGCATCAACATGGCCATGTTAACAGACCACGTCAACATCAACACACCCTGCAACATGGCCACATTGAAGACCACGCCAACAGAAGTCAAGGCCCTGTCACAGGGTCAACGTGGGTAGCTACATGGCCATCTCCGAAACCACGTCAACATGAACATACCCTGCAACACGGCCATGTTGAAGACAACGTCAAGAGAAGACAAGGAATTGCCAAAGCGTCAACGTGGTCATCAACACGACCGTATTAGATGTTAGAATCACATTTCGCATTCATTTTAACGCAGAGATCACATTTATAACGTTGTCAGTCGTTGGATCTAACACGACCGTGTTGTTTGACCACGCCGACCTTTTCTGC